GCGATGGGACTAATGACGGACCCGCACTCAAAGCAGCTGATATCGGCTTCTCAATGGGTATTGCTGGCACTGAGGTTGCCAAGGAAGCCTCTGCAATTGTCCTTATGGATGACAACTTCGCCTCAATTCTGACTGCGCTTATGTGGGGTCGGGCAGTCAACGATGCTGTCCGCAAGTTCCTCCAGTTCCAGATCACCGTCAACATCACCGCTGTCTTCTTGACCTTTATCTCAGCCGTCTCGGACAGGGAGATGAGGTCTGTACTAACAGCCGTCCAGCTTCTGTGGATTAACTTGATCATGTGAGTTCAATTATTTGCATCATCTCAGGATTCATACTGACCTGTGTTTTCTCTTGTAGGGACTCCCTCGCTGCCCTGGCTCTCGCTACGGACCCTCCAACGGAGGAGATCCTCAACCGTAAACCTACCAAGCGTAGCGCTCCACTGATCTCGACCACCATGTGGAAGATGATCATCGGCCAGGCGATCTTCCAGTTGACTGTCACCCTGATTCTACACTTTGCTCGCGGCGATGGATTCCTCAACTACCCTGATGAAGAGAGGCGGTCAATTGTCTTCAACACCTTCGTGTGGATGCAGATCTTCAACGAATTCAACAGCCGCCGACTGGATAACAAGTTCAACATCTTCACCGGCCTGCATCGCAACTGGTTCTTCATCGTCATTAACTGCATCATGGTTGGCTGCCAGGTCGTGATTGCGTTTTTCGGCGGCAAGGCGTTCAGTATCGTTCCTATCAACGGCGTGCAGTGGGCCATCTGCATTGTCGTTGCCGCGCTCTGCTTGCCCTGGGCCATCTGTGTACGCTGCTTCCCAGATGAGTGGTTTGCCATCCTGGCCGGATTCGTCGGCAAGCCCTTCCTCCTTGTCTACCGCCCGCTGAGACGAGGCATGACCTGCCTGGGAAGTGTTTTCAAGCGTCGGGCCCAGAAGAATGAGGCTGCCAAGAACAACGGCGGGTTAGAGATCTCTTCCGCCACCAGCACTGATTTCAAAGATGTCGAGAAGGGACAGGCATAAGTCCCTTTGAAACTATTTTCGTAAACTTCTCATTTTCTTAAATTGCCAGTTACTATACCTTTTGCCTAGGACAGTGTGCCAGACTTGTCGCAACAAGAGCCCGACTTCTTCGCAGGATTGAACAACGGAATTATCCCATGACTCTCCAGGGTGTGCTGCTAGAGATACATACCGTCAGCCATCCCTTTTCAAATACTGTTTTTGCTTGATGTCCATATGCCCATGACCCGACTGCGATCCTTGACTTGCTTGGTGTCTGCACCATCAGAACTTGAGGTGGGAGAAAAGTGTCTTCCAATAGCGCTGCCACTTGATTGTCCGCCGTGGGACTGGGCTCAAATTCCTAGGGCATCGTGTCTATTTGGTCAGGCAGGAATGTCATTATTCATAATCCCCAAGGAACTCTTCAAGTTGGTTAATGAAGAACTTCTCGGTCCTATAATCTCTCATGTTAGTTGAAGACCTCTTGAAACTGTCACCGTGTACTAGACCACATTGTATGTAAAGACCCTAAAGCTAACTCGTCTGCCCAGACAACATACTCACCATTACTGGTCTTAGCGTCATAAGTTCGTCAAAGTAGTAAGACCAAGTCTGTTCGCATATTGTAGTCTCCAAATTCCAATTAGACTATTCTCAGTCTCGTCCATATCAGAAAACAAAAATGAAAAGATTGACCAATACCAAGAATCCAGTAAAATCATGCCACAATCCCAAGATAATTGCACCTTTTGAGAGGCAAAATCAGTAGTCCACATCCGGCTAAGCAAGTTCCTTGCCTTCTAGGCGGGTATCTTCAAGTTTCATACTCACTTTTTCTTTCCGCTAGGGGTTCGGTGCTAAGGGGAGGGGAATTGCTTACACATTTTCTTTTTTACTGGAGGGGGTGGGGGATGGATTATTTTAGGGAAGAAGATTTTGGTTCGCGATCATTAGGTTTAGAGATTTGTTGCCTTTGTTTGTTTAACCGATGGATATGCTCCGTTGATACGTAATCCTAGCAAAATGCACCTTTTCGTAGGTATTTTAACGAGATAAGAGAACTGGGAGTTTAGATGTAATGATCCTAACTTTAAAGAAGTCTTTAGTGGCCGGTATCTCCGTAGGAGTATAAGCAATCGGATGCTAGTTAGTCTCTATTTTATTATCATGTTAATAATGCAATTACTCCCGTAAATGCCCGTACCTAGTCGACTTAATATCTCTTAGCTCCCCTCCGAGCAGTCAAACTATATAAAGATTCCACACGAGCGTGGTTACGCACTTTAGCTTCTAAAAAATCATAAAAGTCGGGACCGATCTTGTCCCCTTTCTCTAAGTCGTGAACTAGTAAAGCTAGTTGTGAATGGCAGAGGAGCATAGTCCTAGTCCTATTAGCAAACTCGCTAGGCTACTAAATGTAGATTATATGAAATTCATCTTTTAAGCTTAGCTTGGGATATGAGCTTTAAGTTTAGGCGCACCAAGGCACAATAGTTTGGCGTCGCCTAATGTAGTCCACCGTCTATTCGACGGCCTCTATCCTCCACCGGTCTCGACTTCCTACCGCCCTTTCTTTTCACCCACCCTCCTTGGAAGAGGCTGCATGGCCTAATAGACTGCTCTACAATTTGTGAGTCAACGGCAAATTAACTGGTTCTAAGGGTAATCCTCATCACAATTCAACAAGTTACAACTTTCCGAGATTGCTCGTAGTTCATCTTTCAACAAATGCACGATGATTGTTTACTAAAGGAGCTTCAACGGTGCTTCCTGGCGCTGTCTAGACAGCAGGGCCCACTCGACCCACCTGAACTCGACTTCACCGTTGAAAATTGATTTTCTTTGATCTACAATCTTTTACTCAGAAGACGTGGTCAGCCAATAATTTAGGAATAGAGTCAGCGTGTAGACCGCCTCGTGAGTTTTCGGATTCTAGGGTGCAATATGGCCGGAAACGCCCAAAATCCCGAAGCATCCGCCGAAAAAACATGTACTTAGCCCGTCTCACGGAGAAGTATGCCTAGATAAACATCTGCATCGCACATCTTGCTGTATGCACATGCCTTTTTCATCAGAGTTGATTTACGACGACACTGTTTCTGGCGCTTTGCTTACTTGCTCGGAACAAGTCGACTCTGTTTAGTACAGAAGCCACTTCTAAGTAGTCCCGCCCCGTCCACGAATAAACACAAGCGTCACTTTTAGATAGGTAAAGAAGAGAGGAAATAAAACAAGGGAGCTAACTAAATAAATAGTCTCAATTTTGCATAATACCTTTGCAGTCCTTCTCGGCGCCGGTGCTTTTGTCAATACGAAAATTCCTCCAGAGTTGGCGAGACTAGGAGACTTGGTGAATGTGCTACCAGTTATTTCCGATACGCTACTTCTGCGCTAGTCGAAGATCTAGGCACAGAGCACTAGCATTGCACGAGTGACAACAACTGAAGTTCCACAAACTATCCTTGATGTCTAACTGGAATCGTGGGTTTGAAGACGGGATATAGGATAATACAATGGCTACATATTCTTACGAAGTTATTTACGACTTTCCTCAAGGCGATATTTATTCCGATGAAGGAGGGTGTGAAGCTTTAGATCAGACCGGGGCTTATTCCGTAACGAATCAGAAACTTTCTTATACGACTCTTAGGAGGAACATAAAGTCAATTTCTTGCGCAAGTTGACTCGTATAAAGCAAGCGTATTGGTTCCAGATATAAAGGTAGCCACGTTAGCCGCCATTCTCTCTCACATCATAGGCATCGTAAAACCACCCGATTTATCTACCCGTCTCGATGGCCAAAGCGGGCCTTATACACCGGTCAACGTTTGTCCAGCGCACGATAGCCTCAGTTCATTGATAGATATTATCCGCGGACTATACGAGCTTTACTTTTTATTAGGCAAATAGGTTGATATGATAAAAAAAGCACGCAGGCGAAATTACAGTACTCCTAGGTGGAGAAAGGAATCGCGCCAAACCAATGATGTTGAACAATAAAGAAAGAAGTACGACTGTATGATTGGTGGGGTGGGCTACACTAAATACAGTAGCATGAAACACAATATCATCCCCGAGAGATACGAGTCCACTAGGAGCCGTGGCTATAGCATATTGTCACGATTTATACTGTATCCGGCCAATTGGAGATATCAATGACTCTGTATTTTATTATCCCTATTTCCTGCTATTTATGGGGCCATTTCTAATTACATAAGTCTCCGGATATACTGTCTACCCGAAGCCATTCGATACTTCTATAGACCCGGTTTCATGCAGTTTTAGGATCAAAATTATGTAAAATCTGGGTTGAGTTGGGTCTAAATTGGGTTTTACTGGGGCTCCAGTATTGGGACTGGGTTGGGACCGGGTTAAGCTGGGTTGGGTATTGGGTCGGAGTCTTCGAGCCAAATTGGGTTATGCGGAAGTCCAATATTGAATATGGTTGGATTAGGCCGATATCCGTGTTAGAACTAGCCCTATCTTCAATGAACGACAGAATTGATTTCTTTACTCCTTGATAAGTACTACGGCGAATCACAGACTGCAACAGCCCACGGGGGTGGGATTTGCACGACTCCTGCAGTTTCTGCACACCGATCACCTGGCGATCACGGGGCGATCATGGGCCGATCACGGGCCGACCACTGGCCGATAGTTCCTCATCGATTTGACCCGCCTGCGATAGATCCGGCCGGTGTCTTCGGTTCGTGTTCGGCTTTATGCATCAATGTCCTGAAACAGCCACAGACTGGCAGTACGCCGGTCTACCGTCCGCGCGGTCCCCAACTGTGCCTCTTTTGTCTCAAGCGCGCTATCAGGGGCCGTATTCGCTATCCGGAAGTTGTCATAACTGACCGGCACGGGCGTGCTCTTGCCTCTTAGATGACGATGCCAAGATCTTTCGAGGGTCGAGGTTCACGTCAATCGCCAGTAGTGGGGTCTTGGCAGCTGGGTCAAGTTGGAACCGTCATCCTTAGCCAATCCACCGCGATTGGAAGAGGACCAGGATCTCGAGACGCTTCTTCGAGAGTCCAGGTACCTGTTGGTCAGTAGTTTGAACTTGTTGGAGGGGAGTCAAATGCGAGTACGTCTCTCTGAGAAACCGCCTTTCACGGTGCGGGACAAGATTAAGAGCTAATGCAACGTAGTGCTTGGCAACTTGTTGACCCCTGCAACCGTAGCGTGTTTCAACTGCAGTCAACCCTGCATAGCATAGCCCAGATTGCATCATTACTGTGACATGGCGAGAGCGCGGTGGAGGGTTTTAGCAATGATCATTCCCGTCCCGATGCTCTGCATAAGTGGCACGATGTACGACCATGTTGATCTCTGCGGGTAAAGGTGTACTGGCTACCCTCTGTCCTATATTCGACCTATTCGCCATCAGGATAGCGATGCTTCAATCCTCCTCCTCTCCCGAAGAAACCACTAACTATGGGATTGATTGATTTTGGCACACCTAGGGGTTCTTCCTCTCCTAATTTCGACGATGTCGAAAGGCAGACTCCCAAGCCTCTTTCTTTCACCAAAAGCCTTGAACTCTCCAGCATCAAATGCCACGCTTTTGGCCGAGATTTACGCTTCCGACATGCCCTTGGCGACTACTTGCTTTCGGAAATTGACGCCACATGGAGCGACCTTCCTCTGATGGGCTGTGGATACGTGAGCGGCTTGATTGACGGGTTGTCGTACAATGCGTGGGGAAATTTCTCGAACATGCACACGGGTAGGGACCAAAGCATGTCTTTCCCGAAGAGCGAGCTCTAACTACGGTCGAATGCACGTCAACAGGTAATACAATCTTCGTCGCTTTAGGAGTGTCCGGGAAGCCCGACAGCGAACCCATGCTGTGGGCTAAGGCCCTCGTTGCCGTTACAGTGTTCCTAGTCGGCAACGTTTTTTTTGTCTACGGCTCGCGATACCTGGGTCCTCTCCGGCGCTTCACCTTGATAGTATCTTTTGCCATTCAGACAGCCCTCCTCCTCGGAGCCGCCCTTCTTGTTGAAGAAGGGATTGTTAGTCCCAGTCTGGACCATCAAATTCCGATTGACTGGCTTCAGGTTCTCGCAATCTCGTTGATTGCGTTTCAAGCCGCGGGTCAAATTGTCGCTTCGCGATTCCTGGCCTTCACCGAGATCCCCACAGTTGTTCTAACAGTCCTGATATGCGACTTGTTTGTTGACACCAAGCTATACCAGCGTCCCTGGAGCTCGAATCCGAAACGAAACCGAAGACTAGGTGCCGTTCTTTCACACTTTCTGGGTGCCATGACTGCAGGTGGAATGGCGAAGGAGACCGGGCTCGCAAGTGGCTTGTGGCTTGCCGCGGCTCTGAAGGCTTGTATTACCTTAGTTTGGTTCGGGTGGAGGAGGAAAGGCTGGGAAGGATCGCACATGTTAAGCAGCACCCAGTAATGTAAAAAGCCCGTTTACACCCTCGACTCACCTCAGCGCCCGCTTTTCTTGCGAGGAATGTTGATGCTATTCACCTTTCTTTTGGGAGGATGGTTTAGACGCATAAGCCAACTAGGGCACCACTTGCAAGGACATAACCCCACGGAAGTTCGTCCTAAACGATAATGTAGGAGATGTCTTTACCTGGTCTGGTCTCAGATTGCTTTTGCTAGACCCCGATGGGGCTTCAACCGTATTTCCTATCCCACGGGGGTGGCCCCAGTCTGCTTGACTGGGGATTATGGTTTCCGCTTCAGTATGGGAGAAAAGAAGTGGGCCCTGCTAGATTGGGAATTAATTTCCTCGCTGGACTGGGCATTCCTACAGGCCTCGTATCGGGCGCAAATTTTGGCTACTTTCAATAGCGGTCTGAATTATCTCCTATTTTCTTCGGAGTATACACAGTCCACTAATTATCGAGAAAATGGTGATTGAAAACCGGAGATGGTTTGATACGAAAATAGACTATTATGGGAGGCGACTGGCACCTAAGACGTTTCTTTAACACTTTAGAGGAATTGAACACCGTAATTATCCTTGCCTATAATGATTATGGGGCGGGAGTAATTAAATTTAGGGAGTTTTCAAAATGCCCACCTCTTATTTCACGTTGCTTTTAGATTACTCAACCTTAACCTTATTCGTAGACAATTCTCACGTTTTACTCAGCTTACGTCGTAGATATATATCGTCACCTACGAATTCATTTCAGAATAGAACACTAAATTTTTCACTAATGGTCGTCATTCCCAACATACGTCCTCGAGGTCCAGAAACTAGGAACCTCGATCTGGCACGGTGCAGGAAAGATTCCCCAAAAAGACGACACCGGAGCGAGGTCTCGTGCGAGGATAACAGGGATGATGATGACGACCCTGCTGATAGCGACTATATGCACGACAGCGCTGATGACCTAGGTGAGATATCTGTAATTCCTCACCGAACGAAAAGGGTACGACGAACTGCAGCGCCCCGTGCAGCTAAATCTTTCCGGTATAATTCTATACGTAACGTAGGAATAAGGCAAAATTACTCGATATACCTATAGATTAAACCCCCTTAATAAGCTTGCGTGATATTAAAACTATTCCTATCCAAAGCATTTATAACGCGACAAAATACTTTTTAAAAGGCCGTCTATTTATTCATAGTCGAGGAACAATTAGAGCACTCGTGCGTACGGGAATTAGGTGCAACTCTATTATATTCTAGGAACTAAGTTAGCAGCCGACCTACTAAGCTATATCACCCTAAAATATCTTGAGCTACGACTACTAATAGGCTGACGATATTTCTACCCGAGGATAATCAGCTTTTGATTGAATTAAAAGAGGGTCATGGCTTACTATAGAAGTAAATCGTAAAATCTTTCCCTAAAAGGTCGGAAGGTTCTCTCTAGGTGCGGTATTATACACGCCTTAAAAGACCGATGTACTAGAAGCTCTGGGCAAATTCCTAACGGAAGAACAGAAATTGTGAATAAAGCCAAAGCTATGTCTAGGGAAAGAGGATCGAGAAATGTGTGTCAAGGGAGCGATATATTCCACCTCGGCGCAGACGGATAGTCGAGTGCTACTCCCAATTTGACACAGCGGCTTCGAGTACTTATCGTCTCTCAGCTAGAAGGTCATACCATCAATGGAATATCCTACGTTTGTCAAATGCGCAAGAATTGCACGTACCATGTTGTTTCAAAGTATGGCTGCAGAGTTGCTAAATCGTCTAAATACAGATGTACTACAAGGTAAATTTTCATGCTTGAAGTCCTTTTGTAGGACCAGAGAGGGCGGTTGTAGGACAAGAAAGTGGTTGTGAAAAGCGCATTTCTGGGTAACCGAGCCTACACCAGAAAGCAGCCGCAGCTCTTGAACCTTATCTTGGCATTCCAAAGTGGAAAAAGGGATATTCTAAGGCGCGATTTATTCCCCACACATGACGCGTATCCCAATATGTGTTCAATCAAGTCGATTTATGGTCTATATTGCAATTTTCTATGCAATTGCACGTGATAAATTGCGAATAAAACTTGCGAATATGAATCACGAATATTACTGATTCCGACGAATATTCGTGTTCGCAACAGCCCTAGTGCTGCCTTGGCTTGTCTGGCTGCGTCTAGATATCTACCATGGATTCGTAGCCGCCACGGCGTTATGTGAATCGGAACGGTTCCACGGGTTCTCGTTACTAGCGTGCACCACGCCACCGAGCTCGCTTTGCAATGTTAACGGCCTCCCGGGTCCCACGCGAGCATTGTCTGTGTTGGCTGTCTTGCAGCTTGTGCCGTGTAAAAACAACTGCATCCTTTCTCTTTCTCTCCTTCTGTATAGAATTGGTGGGCATGGGATCTTGATCGAACCCGTTGGTGCCAGAAACATCTCCCACCACGGCCGCCGCCCTCTATGTCATGACATCATGGCTCCCGCGCCCTCGCAGCGACAGCTCGCCGCTATCTCAGTCACAGAGCGCGTTTGCTCTGCTGTTTCGCTGATTGGCACATCTATTATCATAGCTAGTTTCATCGGCTCGCGCTCATTTCGGAAGCCGATCAACCGCCTCGTGTTTTATGCATCTTGGGGAAATATGATGGCTAATATAGCAACGTTGATTTCGCAATCGGGGATCCACGCTGGCTCTGGGAGCTCCTTGTGCCAGGTCCAGGCTTTTTTGATTCAGTGGTGAGTTAGCCTTTTCTTTTTTTCTCTTTGGCTTGGTGCTTAAAGTGCAGTGCGTATCTAATGGTAGGTAGGTTCATGCCCGCTGACGCTTTGTGGGCCTTTGCCATGGCGTGCAATGTCTACTTAACATTCTTCCACAAGTATAACTCAGAGCAACTGCGCCAGATCGAGTGGAAGTATGTCGTGTGTTGTTACGGCTTGCCCTTTATCCCATCCTTCATATACTTCTTCATCCAGACCCAGGCCCGGGGCCGGGTCTACGGCTCCGCAATTGTAAGACAGAACACCCATAGAACCACGTACCCTTCTAAAATGTTCTAATGTTCGTTGCATAGCTCTGGTGCTGGGTCGCATTGCCCTGGGACTACCTCCGCATCGCCGTATTCTATGGCCCTGTGTGGTTTGTCATCTCCCTCACCTTCGCCATCTACCTGCGCGCCGGGTCCGTCATCTACCAGAAACACCGCGAGCTGCGCAACCTCTGCGGTATCGAGTCCTTCGGCTCTGACAACCAGCCTGATGCCCCGCTTATCATACCCGCCGGCATCCAGGTCACCAGCGAAATCGCCTGCTTTGCGCCAGTGCACCGGCCCCTGTCGGCTAGTGACGTCCCCACCCGCAACTTCACGGCCTCCTCGTTTAGCCCGTACTCCGTCAGGATCGATGGTGGCCCGATCGATCCCTTCAGCATGCTGCAGAACTTAGAGGAAAGCTCCGCGCCTATCCAGGGCCCGAGTCACCCCCGGCCCGACCCACGTCCGCTCGGTAACGAGTTGTCTCTCAAATCGGCGCAGCACGAGTGCGGCGACTCGTATGCGCAGCGGCGGAAGGCGATAGAGGCGAGCTCTGCGGCGTGGGTGTATACGAAATACGCGATGCTATTCTTCATCGCGCTGCTTGTGACGTGGGTAGGTGGTTACATTCGCTTTACTCAATTTAATTCAGCACAGCGTCCAAGTCTAATCTGGTACAGGTTCCCTCGACGGTCAACCGAGTATACGCGCTCGCTCGCCCCGACGACTTCTCGTTCGGGCTCAACTATGCGTCGGGTTTTGTGCTTCCTCTGCAGGGATTCTGGAATAGTCTTATTTATGTGTCGATCTCGTGGCCGGCGTTTAAAACGCTGTGGAGGAATCTACGGAGCCGCTCGACGGGTTTGCGACACATTTAGTTGCTTGTCATGTCATGCGACGACCCGAGTAGTACCTAGCTAGGTTGGTGGGTAAATTGGAGTCTAAGGGTTTGCTTAATTAGAGTCTAGGTTATATAGTGTCGATTTGTCTTTTTTGATATCCACAGCGGGAAGGCAATGAACCGCATCTGCGAACTGTCAATTCAGACTCAATATTCCTCACTTAACATAATCTCAATAAAAACGAAACCTGCATTAAATATGGCCCAAGAGGATAGACGCGCATGTCAAAGGCCCATGGCCGCAGCCTCTTCCTCGATACAGTTAAACCTCTACGCTCTTACGACTTCATTGCCGGAAAACAATTCCGATATTTGCGAGTCCTGGTTGGATGTAATAGCCGACACCGGCTTTTCAGACCAATTTTCAAAATAGTTAACTGTGTGTAAGATATACTTTGCACTGGTTGCACTGTTTGGTAAATAACGGTGCTATAACATTGACATAGTTTATTGCTATAGCGACTGGTAAAGTGAGGCTGGAAGAATAAGCAGCCTTTCGTTGATAGGGGGGAAACGGCCCTGTCCTTTAACAGCTAGACACAACGGAGTTTCTGTCGGTAATCGGAATGGTTAACGTTAACTTGTGAATTCCGTACATGTATTTTTACTGACCCGTAGACGCTAATCTCCACGGCTATATATAGTGGTGTCTGGCTATGATGTTTTCTGATATTAACATTCTTTCCACCTATTAGACATGAGTGGCAAGATCTAGAATTGGCGACCAGTCAGCGCAATTTTAATAGGCATATTTCCGTCTAGAAAGTGGGTATTGCGATCAATATTTTGTACATTGACAAGTCGTTCGATAAATTTGACACTTTCATCACATTCTTCGTAACAGAATTACGCCATCTCGTCCACCTAGATAATAGTAAATTAACTTCAGCGAGGGGTCGGGGTAATTAAAATCATCCATCTTATACACTACATAAGACACACGTCGTAAAGTTTGGACTAGCTCCTTACTACCTTAATTGACCCCTATATAGCGCCACTCGGTTGAAATTTTCATTCACAAACTTTAGTCCGTATTGGCGTGAGATCTCGTTTTTGTTCAATAGGTTATCAGGCACTCACGGTTGTTTTTCCCGTGCCTGTGCCCTCTTTCGACGACTCTTTAGGCCATATGTTGCATTTAACAAGCATGCCCTCCAAAGCAAGTCCTAGTAGGAAAGATACCGTGCGTTATACCTTCGGAGTATGTACCTAAGCGAGTAGGAAATAGTTATTTACTTTGCGCAGGTAGCTAGTACTTTTATATTCGTTGACGAATTTATCCACCTTTTCTCCAGCTATTCATGTCATTAAGAGATATACTGGTATCCAAATATTCTAGATATGCAAACGACCTAGCGCTAACGGAGTAGTGCTCGACTAAGGCTATAAGGGCACTATTCTGATGAGTTATAGTCGATTATTACGGGTCTTGAATCTCTCCCGCGCAAACCATGGTGACTTACAGTAGCGTGTGACTTGAAAGAGGCGTGTTCCCGATGCTACATTTATTTTGACAGGCTTGCTCAGGTCGAATATAGTGGACTTCGTTATTCAAGCCGCTATTGTAGAGGATGTAAGAAAGAAGGCCGAGAGCTCCTAGAAGACTGCATTTCACATTACCACATGCTTTAAGACCCCCTAAAATGTCCGCTGAACAACCTAGTCACTCTTCATTTAAAAAGGCTAAGCGGAAACCACAGCCGAACCTAGATCTAGACCAGTAGGGCGGAATAAAAACTCCAAGGTGTCCAGCCGGATCCTCTCCGCCTGCGATACATGCCGAATAACAAAAAGCCGATGTACCGGAGAGAATCCGTGCCTGATATGCGAAAGGTCACAGATAGTCTGGAACTATGGCCCCAGTGATAAGCTCGGTCGACCTAAGGGCAGCAAAAACAGGCGGAAGTCGATGCAGCAATCCCTGAACATAAACAAGGATCAAAGGAGCGGGCCATAGGGAGGCAATGGTGGTATCATGCAGTGGATCTAACGCGAACAGTAACAACCACAACTTCAATAACAGCTGTACCAGCCGGAGCTAAACGTGATTGAGTTCGAGGTCGACATAAAGTACGCACTTGATCCCACAATGGCTTTTGGTGATGGCAACACACCGACTGGGGATAGCAGCCGTGGCCTTATGCTTGGTATGAGTTCGGGTTTGCTCGACCAGCAAATTGTAAACGATGACACGGGCTAAAACCATGATTTTTGCTTTTTTCAGGTATCATCAACCAACTCACCGCATTCACACATATTCTTGGCAACTAACTTTCATTTCGCTTCTCAGATTGCAAGACATCCCGTTGGCTTTCAAATCACCCACTTTCCATAATTGACCCGGGACATATCTTCCCACCGAATGGAGCGATCGGTCTTGATGACAATACATTCTCACACAATAACTCTGCTCTATTGGGGCACTCCCACGCATCGTCATTTCAGCCTTAACAAGCGAGCGATGCTTAAGCCTACCATGTCGAGAGGCCTTGACAGAACCTCAACAAGTGGGGAAATTAATACCAGCGTAATGATGTACACTAAACTTGAAATGGCGGAAGATTGATCTCGTACGAGCACGGCTGTAGCTGTTTAACTACATATCATTCATAAGCTTGTATCTCGTCAATATCCCAATTCACTAAATGACCTGGGTTTTTCTGGCGATCACCAGAAGAAGCAAGATAAGCCCTAAAATGAGCCCTAGGATGCCAAACCACCAGGCCAAGCTGGCCACATGCAGCCCAGGCACCTCTACATTCATACCAAAGAGACCGGTAATGACCTGCATCGTGACAACGATCGCCCCGATAACAGTCAGCCGACTAAGAGCGTCCACGATTTGATTTCGTGTACAAGTGGAGTCAAATGAGAGCTGGGCAAGATACTTCGACTGCGACCGAGACAACATCTGCTCTGCAATGTTTAGGTTGGCTATCATAGTCAGGACGTGGTCCTGGATGTCGCCAAGGTAGAGTGCAACCTCTCCGGGCGTGGACCCTAAGCTACCACAGTGGCGGGCGAAACATCGGACGACATCCGTCTTCTCGTGCAGATGTTGGCGGATGTGAGTGACATCTTTGCGATAATTGTAGATGCTCCGGAGGGCTAGTCCAATGTCTTCGGGTCGCGTGACAGAAACACCGTCTTCTATTATCTCCACGCCTGTTTGTATACGGTCGATTAAGGGAGCGAACCCATCCACAATATCATCGCTGGGGCCGTTAGCATATATTCTATATTTATAAGGGCATAACAGGGCCATACATGAGGGCGTAGCAGATCCAGTCACTAGTCAAAGCTAAGTGGCTCTGATGCTCCTTTATGCGGCTCCACACATGAGTAGGATGCTGGCTATTGTCATATGTAAAGGTGATCACACTTTCGCGGAAGACAATGCTGTAGACATTGGCGGACGAGATCCGGACTCCTGTCGCTATCTTAGGCTGCTGTGGAGCCCGCAGGGAAACTAAATAGTAGGGGCCAAAAAGCTCAATTTTTTCTCGGGGCTCGCGGACCTTGATGTCCTCGGTGGTCAGCGGGTGGATATCCAGCATGCGCGATAGTATCTCGATGTCCTCGTCGGATGGCGAGGCAGCGTGGAGCCACCACAATCCACTGTGCAAACCCGTCTCTAAAAGGGTCTCGAAGACAGAACAGGTCGACTTCAGCTGCGGGATACTGGAAGCATGGGTAATTGTATTGATCTGGGTACTAAAGAAACTGTAATGCGGGGTCTCGCAAGCGGCCTCCATCATGGGACGTTTCTCCGGGAGAGAAGGGTCTACATTGTTGAGGGTGGAATTCGGCGCTCGGGGGGGAAGGTCAACCACCGACCCCATACTGTGGATTTGAGCACACACACGACGTAAATCATATAGAAGGGTGATTGTGGTCGAAGGAGAAGACGATGGACAGTTTGTAAAAGAGCGAGTGTGACGAGGAAAAGAAAGAAAAGACTGCTGTCTACGCACGATGGCTCCCAAGTCTTGGCATTGTGGCGCAGTTAATTTATTCAAGGGCATTCTTGAAAGGACCCCAGGACCCGATTCGGACCCACTCTCCACTCGCTAAACCTAATTAGGCCTCATGCAGTAATTGTATTTTCAATGCATTAATCCAGTAAAAATGCATTTGTACTTGGTAATGCTCGATGCCCGGAGTATCGGCGGTCATGAACCTTAGATACTAGATACTACAAGCAAACTAGAACGCCGGTTGTGAGAGTGTCACCCCGCGAAGGCTCGTTTTTAAGATAGTGGTAGGGATCTCTATACCAGGAGTGGATCCAGCTAGCGCTTACTAGACCCCGACCTAGCTTTAGCCGTGTTCTCCCAGCAGCAGAGCATGGTTTGTTGAGATTCATGGCCTCTCCAGGCATCTCCAGGCATGAAATGCCTGCTTCGCCAAGCATGAAGCTCATGATCAGCATTGACCTACCATGTAGAGTATAGTTCAGGAGAAATGCTTCTCATTAAATAGGATCTCTCTCTCATGGAGAGAGAGATCAGACTTAAACCACCTCGTTGGTTCTTGGCAAGAGCTTCCTAGCATCATTCATCGTATTCTCCATTCAAAATTTCAACATGGTTGAACGCATGAAGCCGGGTGTTACCCCTCAAAAAAGCAACGGCCGTCGCTTTAATCCAGTAGTGGATATCGACGGGAAATCTGCTGAAAATAAAATTAGTAGTTACTGACAGGGACTATCGCAAAGTTGAGACAGCTCCCATATCCAAAGGAGCCGATCGGATATTCTTAGTTACATGATTGCAAAGCTTTCAATAAATTGGTTGTATTTACGGTAGAATTAATTTGGCTCTTACAGCTCGTTCTATGATATAGGGATTGTATTGCAGAGTAGGTTCGAGTGACTTACAATCGCTGCCTAAAGCGATGAGTTTGGCTACGCAGGTAAGAGAGTCTATCGTACACGATATGTAATTAAGCCAGGTAATTTTCGAGCTTCACCTCATCTACACCTAGTAGGTCATTGATATTGAGCGTATTGCCTGATTTTAGTTAAACCGGGAATCCGGTGTTTGCATTCGACCATCTCAATCAAATTGGAGGATGTATACCAACTTCACCAAGTGGTTAGCTAGAGATAAGAGATGGCTCAAGAATTGAAACAATGCAAATTAATATAGCTATCATATAGGTGAGATGGCAAGGAAACCTCCGCGGCACGTCCGTGAGACTTTGACCACCCCGACACTTACCACAACACTCACCAAATCTCGGTCACATCTCGAATTATAATCATAGACTTTCCTCTACACAAATGCTGCATCTAATGCGACGACGGAACTCTATCGGGTCGCAAAATATCTAGGCAGAAAGCTTAGGAATATGGCAGTCGATAACGAAGGAAGTTCAATCGCGAAGTTTACACTGAAAGCCCCTTTTATGGGAAAAGAAACTACGTTGGCAATCTTCATCAATCAAAGCCTGACTTCGTACGGGGTCACGAGTGCACCAAACGCGTCGGATCGCGCGTTAAACCGACTTTTCAAAGGCTACCAGCTTTCGATCAAGGCGCTTTCTACTAGGGAAGGAAAACAATTAATTACGGCTACAGACGAGTAAATAGTCCAGAAGTAGCACCGCTGGGAGCGGTAATTGAGATCGGTCCCTGAACATCGATGTAGAGGTGCCAGCGATAAGAGCAGCGCATTGATCGAGACAACTTGCGCTAGTAGCGAGTGTTCAGTGCGGGGGGACGGGATCGCCCATCAGAACTTTGGCGATGTTGGCGATGTTAGCTATGATGTAATGTAAACCTTAACGAATTCAAAAGTAGTGGGGCGCGCGTATTTTCTGATACATATAAACTAGATAGACTCTTAATTCACATGATACTTTTACTTAGAAAATTCGCTTTTCGGCAATAGATCCTAATCAACTCCACTATTACTAGTGGAGGCTTTGCGTGGCCGAGTATCACTTTCGACTGTTACAATATATTTGAAGTATAGAGAGGCAACTTCTTTCTCGAAGGCGGCATCGGTATTGAATAACAGAAGGCTTCTTTTTAAAAGAAAGGAAAAGGTTATAAGGAGAGCTAAATATCAACTTTTGCATGATTCTTACACCTCATACTACAAAAAGTTTTCTTCCGAAGTTATCTTAGAGGTGAGAGAAAATACAACATTGCCAGAGATGTTATGGTTCAGTGTGGCAAGAACTCAGCGGTCACTCAATTTCAAAGCTAAATAGAACCAAAACTCGATGTCCAATTGAAGGTTTTATCGCTGATCTATTCATCCCGACTAGTGAGAAACTATGCCGTGTCTGCTGACAAATGTCCTCAGTGTGCCAGCTTTCCTTGATTTGTTCTGTCAACAAAGCAAGGGAGAGATGTCCGAGGAAACGCTTTTGGGGCCGCATAAGAACCCTGCAAGATTAAGGAGAAGTCGTGATTATATTTGGAGGCACCGAGGCTTGCGATGGCTCCTGAAGACGTTCAGGAGTATCCTGTTGCCACTGCATCATCGAAACAGGCCCTTCCTTGTCTCTAGTCTGAGAATTCGTTGACTCCTGAACAGGAAAATTTTCATTGTGTTTTGAGACTCGCCGAAAAGAAACCCGGAGGATGAATCGGGTGACGGGTCGGAAGGAAGCCTTGGTACCTCTACTAAAGGCCTGGAGGCCCTTGACAAATGGCCGCATGATGACCGATAGACTGCCGACGACGGCATTGAAAAAGAAAGCAAAACGGTGGTCGGGGACTATGCGTAGGATCATGGCCCACGGCATACACCCCACGGCACAGATGAGACAAACAGCCCATAAAATCCCACTGAGACGAGTCACGCGAAATGCCTGGCCGCCAATGAATACAATCATTATTTGTCCGCCGACAATAACGGCATTGATGCCCAAAAACCAGTAGTTTCGAAACATGCCCTCGAAGACATTGAACTTGTTGTCGAGGCGGCGGCAGTTAAATTCGTTGAAAACCTGCATCCACACGAATGTGTTGAAGACAACTGTGGAAAGCTGTTTGGATCGAAGATCTGGGTCGTTGCTGTCAAGCTGTGGATTCAAAAGTTGGTCCCCGGCGAAGTACAGCATGAAGATCACAGCGAGTTTGTAGACTGTTTGTCCGAGGATCATCTTCCACATGTTCATGGTGAAGAGTGGGGCACTTTTGGGTACGGGTTTTCGATCCAGAATTTCTGCTGTCGGGCCATCGGTGGCTCTGTTTCACGTCGTGTTAGCGAAAGAACATATATGCCACAGGAAGGGTTCCGCTTACAGGGCTAGTGCAGCAAATGTGTCCATTATGAGATTCACCCAGAGCAGCTGCACAGCATTAAGTACGGGGTTATTCGAATCGCTATAGATGGACGACACAAACGTCAGAATAACGGCCGTGATGTTGACCGTGATTTGAAACTGAAGGAACTTAGCAACGGCGTCGTTTACCGTCCGTCCCCAGGCGATCGCCGTAACGATGGATCGGAAATTGTCATCCAGGAGGATAATTGAACTAGCCTCTTTGGCTA